CTAAAAGCAGATTTTCCCAGTTCTGTAAAACTCTTGGCACCTAAAGGGTGATCCAATCGCTGGAAAGAGTCTGATAAAATGCATTATTTACACTGAGCATTTTTGTGATGTACAATGGCATATGGCCATTAAGTGCTTTATAAATAAAAAGCCAGTGTGTCTCCAAACACACAGCCATAGATAACCAGCCCTTTGACTCTTTGAATGTCAGATCCTTTCAGGGTAGTGATTTTACAAGTGTTAAAATCAATGTTAAAGGCTCTGGAAAACAGCATAAGTTTCAGTTTCTTAACATTTAAGACTAGATTGTGATTGGGCAGCAAAAATTACTGCAGTTTCCACTGCAGCACCAGTTTTGTTAACTGAGCAGTGTAGGACAGTGTTGTCAGTTTATAAATGTACAGTCGACAATGGAGGTGGCAATGTCATTACTGTAAATATTAAATAATGCTGGTCTGAGGATCGCCCCTTGAGAGACCCCTTAGGTACCGGTAGTAACTTTGATTTACTTTGTCCCAGGGCCACACATTGCTGTCTATCGTAGAGATCATTTCTAATTGTTTGTGGTCAAAGCCAATATTTCGTAGACTTTTTAAAAGTAAGGAATGATCAGCTGTATCAAAGGCTTTCAAGAGATCAGTGAAAACGACTGCACAGTGTTTCTTTCTATTGATGACCCTGAAAAGATCATCTAAGCTGAACTGAATTTCCATGGAGAAATGTCTTAAGTTGATCATTCACTAAGGATTCTAAGATTTTGACCTAGCATAACAATTTCAAGACAGGTCTATAGCTAATAAGATCTGAGGCATCACTTCCTTTGCGGAGTGCAATTACATTTGCTGTTTTTCAGACACTGGGAATTCTGCTTGATAAAATAGACAGATTTAAAATATGTGTAATGCATTCTAAAATGATCAGGGATCCAAACTATCCTTTCCTGTACTTTTTTTTAGTGTTGATAAAGGCTTTAGCTACTATGTGAAGAGAGAAAGGGACCATGTCTTACAGCAGGGGATGTATTTCATTGAGAGGCACTTTCCTATGAGTATTATCAAATACTCATATCCAGCAGCTGCGAAGTGAATAATAAATGCTTGGCAGAGATCTTTTTGATCAGAAATCTGATGATCATTGCTTATGAAATGGGTCAGAATAGGCACCAATTTGTTTTTGAGAAAATTAACTGTCTTCCAGAATTTGATGGTGTTTGAAGCTGAGTTTGTAAATAACTTAAGGTAAAATTCTGCTTCAGCTTTCCTGATGTAGGAAGTGCATTTATTCCTTTGCTTCCTGGAGGTAAGCCATTAGTCTCTGTTACCAAATTTTCTTGCATTAAGCAAAAAGAGATTTCAGAGTTGAACCAGGGATTCTAAGAATTTTATAAGTGGCATGCTTGTTTACCGCCACCAGGAATATTTTGCTAAAATGGTCTAACATTCTTATTCTGGAAGATAGTTAATCTGAGATTTCAGAGGTATAATAGGTGTCACTGAGTGCCAGATCAATAAAAAAGGCCATTAAAATGCTTAAAATTTCTTCTAACCACCATCTAAGCACCTGATTTTTTATGCTAGTGTTTCTAAGGCATCAGATAGGGCAGTGGTCATGAAAACCAGGTTCAAATACACCTATAGAAGTAATTTTGTCAGATCTGTTGGATAAAATTAAATCTATTAAAGTTGACTTGGTGCAAGTTTGGTTGTGTTGGCTTTGTGATTAGCTGCGTTAAAGATTTAGACACACTTGTTTCAAGTCATGAGATGCATTAGTTAACCAATTTAGATTAAAATCACATAGGATCAGCATTTCTGAGTTGAACTGCTTGAGATTGGTACCAGTAGGACCTAATAATACTTGAGGGTGTTTTCCTTTGTCTTCATCATTTTGTGAATTATTTATTCTTCTTGGCAAAGTAACCAAGCACTTTTACATGACCAATATGTGCACCACTTTGTACACCAGAATTGTATATAGATGTAATGATTGCTGTTTTTAGAAACACTTGTGTTTGCTAAGGTTACATAAGCTAGTTTAGAAGGTAACCCTAACATTATTAGGCTGATATGTATGCTTAATTGTCAGATTTGAGAGAGAAAAATGTAAGCTTTGTGTGATGACATGAGTCTACACATTTAATAATTTCCAATGTTTCTGTCTGTAACTGTTTGGGTCAGTTGTTGTTTTTGAGTGTGCAGTGAAAAACCACCGTAAATGTTTGATGAATCCAGTACAAGGGGCAGAGCTTAGTAATTGTCACTGGAACCAATGCTCCATGCTGGACATCAACACCTCCATCTCTCCCTTCTATAACAAATAACTTGCTTCCTTTAGAATGGAGGGAGCATGTTTTTACTATATACATGAGCATTTAATTTGGAATTGTAGCATTTGTAGAATTGGAACATTTCACATATAGCTCATTTAGATTTTTTAAACAAGTATAGCTACATGGTGACATTGGTTCTTATTAATTAAGCTGGTCAAATCTCATTGTAAAATAAGCATACAGTAAAAGTTTTGTTATTCATCAATATTATAATTGACATATTGTGCGTTCAAACTTGAAACATGCTTTATATGAGGTTACATAATCAAAGTGATCATCAGTAAAATAAATGAAATAGAAAAAAAGGATTGTATAATAATTGCGAATACACAATTCTAATAAAGGGAAAAAATAATAAGAAGAAACAAGTATGTAAGGCTGCAGGCTAAAGTACAGTGGGTGGGGTCAGCAGACAGGGTTACTCACAGATCTCTGTTGTCATTCACTCCTTAATAAGCCATTCACCAACAGGAGTTCATTATTCATAATTTTCTACATTTTTTAGTTACTCCAAAAGTATCTGTGGTACTGTTGGTTAAATGCAAATCAATTAAAAAGATGGACATGGAAAAGGTGCAGTCCTAAACAGTGAGAAAGTACTTATCAACCTATGTGTTTTGCTAACTATTGTATTTGTAGTTCAATTAAACTTTGTTATTTTATTACTTACTTGTCTGTAAGCGATCTCGACGGAAAGCCTTATCTGTAGTCTAATGATGTTTTGCAAACTGCTGAGCAAAGTGCTGTGAGACAAGTTTAGAAGACTTTTTAATTTCTCAGATACCTAAAAGACAGTCTCACCATCTACATTATTACAGTGATCGCATAAATTTCTGAAATGTTTTCATATGAGCTTACACCAACAATAGCCCACTACACAATGAAAAATTTAAGTATACAATGTTTGTAGTTAGGGTAGCAAACCTGTAGAAATGTAGTTCGTAGTTGAACATTTATTTTGGACAGCATTCATATGATATATCCTTTTTTAGTTTCTTCTTCCAAAGGAAATAATCTGTACTGCACACCTACTCTCAATAACTTAAGTGCATTTTATCATGGTCTTCATATCTCGTGTGAATATTTACCTCCTTTGCATTACACTTGTGAACAACAATGTAAACAATAAACTGTCTTTATATCATGTAACCAGCAATGGTAGTGCACATTTTGCTTAATACTGTAGTTCTATGTTTATATAATATTCTTCTTATTTTGGCCTCCTATATTTGTCTTACATTCTTGGAATTACTCGAAATATGTTATATGGAACTATGAAAAGTTATTTGTTGCACTTGTAAAGGTGCATAAATAATTTCTTTTGTTCTAAAAAAAAATCTAGACAAACAGTAAGACAGCAAATGAGACTTAATATATCGAAAGTTGTGCTGTTGCAAGATTTCAAAGTGGGATTCATAGTTATACATTGTTCTGTTAATACAGGAGGTGTTTTTAACACACCATTTCATAAACACCATTTCACATCATAAAATCTTTGCTGGTCCTGGTCCCTTGGAGTGAGTGAGAGGATCCAGGTCCCTGAGAAAGTTTGCAGTGAGTCATGGGATAATATAGCCTCAGTGACATCACATGGTGACTCATTTGGTATACATCCTTCGGTCTGAAGCTACAAACAATTGCAATAGACTGGATATTTCTTCGTTTACAACACAATTAAGATTAGAAACTGCCGTCTTGGCAGGTTCTGTAGATATTTCCAGGTTATTGAACAGCCTGGGAATTTGGAGCCATAATGTTGTGTACAAATCAGTCTAGAAACAATCTATGGAGTCTGAAAATAAATAATTATCAAAAAAAAAAATCTCTTTGCACATTGTTGTGGTAGCACATAGACCAGGTCATTTTTTTCAAGGGACTATAAGTTTATTATGGATTGTCAAATTGTGATGAAATTAACAACATGTTTGCAGAATAACTGTGATAGTGTATGCTTAATTAATTTTCCAATAATAGTTCTCCATAATAACAATAAATATTCAAATTTGAGAAGTAGTCACAAAACGGTGCTTCCTTACTGCCCCTAAATAATCTAAAGAACTGCACTGTGAGCGTGGGACACTTCTGGCAACATCTGACTTTAGATTTGCATTTTGTGGGTTCAAGCTGTGTCTGAGGCACGATCACCAAAGTGATGTGGAAGGATGTTAAGAAAACCATAGAGCAAATATTCAATCAGATTTTAAACATGTTCACTACCGACATTATCATGAACCTCAATGGTTTACCTGACGCCATAATGCTTGGGTCTCTGCTTCCACAAACATATATATTCCTTCTAAAATCCCTGGGTTTCAGAAGTCATTCTGTGTCTGTTTGGTAGAGTGCGTGGCTATGAAACTAGACGTCCAGTGTTTAAATCCCACGTTTATCGGTGAGTTTTTTTTGATCCAAGGTTAAGTGTGTATATTGTTCAGCTGATGATGTAAACCCATGTTCACCACGTTTCACTGCATTTTCATGAGCAGTAACATTTTACCTGAGCACTAGATGGGCCTTGCTAAACTTGCAGCTTTAAGTTCCTCTTCCTCTCTTTCCTCTTTATGCTACTCTTTTGCAGGCGAAACAGGTTTTGAGTGGTAAAAGAAAATTTAGGTGTACTGTTAATCTGCGTGACACTCAGCAAGACTCTTGGAGAGGGTGGTGAATTTTCATCAATTCGTCTGCGCATGCGCCACAGAAAAACTTTTTATGGGTCGAGCTGTACACTGAGTGCTAACAACAATCCAGCTGACCACTGGCTGGAGTAAAGCGGACTGTTTAACAATAGCGGCTAACGGACTAAACCTTTAAATCTTTTTTCCTTGACACTTTAACTTGCTTTGAGTAGCCGACCAAGATGAAAAGTTTATGGACGCCCCCCACTTTGTGAATTTGGACGCTTGCTTCGATTTGTGAGTATCAGTAAATCTTTACTCTTTGTCTTATTTAGGGACAGCGTTACCAAATTAAGTTAGAGATGTAAAATAGCGTGCTAATTTCTTTAAGCATGTTAAACGCGGACGGTACTTTCAGGCTGTGTCACAACCTAGTCTACATGCACAGCCCACACGTCCACACGTTCATCGTCTTAGTTAGCTAACTACATTTCGCACAATTTATGCTCATATTCTGTTAAACTGCATGCTTGCATCACTACATAAATAGCGTTACTTCCTTTCACCCTTTATTTTGAGTTTTTGGTTTGTTAGCTTAAGGGAAAACACGGCACTCTCCAAACCACCAACTTGCATAACTTGCATCTTAAAATCCTGTTATGTAGAAAGGTTTTCCCCTCCTCGCATAGTTATTAACAGGCAATGCCTTCGTCCTCAGTTAATTTGATTTTAATAAACAATTTCGTAGATGGTGCATTTTTCATAGTCATTTAAGTATCAAACTAACATCAGGTGAACGAACATTAGATAAACAAAACATCTGGAAAGGCCAAATGAACCTTTTTAGTTGAGTATTAGGTAAGGATTAGTTTAGGAGTTAAAATACACATTCTCTTGAAATTGGATTTGCAGTGACAGTTGCTCATTACTTCCCTAATTACGGGGCACATTTAATCTCAAACGTTACGCAACCGCGGTAAAGTTGGTTTTCAAGGTTCGACACACATTCCCACGTGGCGATGTCAGTAGTGTTAGGAGAGAGGGTATGACGAGATTTCCCACTTACACATTCCTTCTCCACATAACACAAGCTCAGAACTACACTATTTCTTTTTACTTGAATTGGTTTTTGTAAGAAATTCTCTACACATTTCCTCGACTTAAATGGTGCGTTAAGCGGATCTTCATGTACAAGTAAGGGGCCGTCGTCAACGTGCTTGTCCTTATGTACAAAACCTGTTATGAAAGTCAAAATCTCAGTAGCATCTATGCTGTAGGGCCCACTGAATCGTGAAATCTAATGCATTACAGTAAAGAAAGCAAGACAGTTCTCTTCATTCAAAAAACTAAAGCAATTAGATTTTTTTTGGAATTAATGAAAAAAATGTAACCATTGCTGTAATAATGGAACATCCTGAAAAAGTGAAACGATAGGCACAAAAATAAAAAAGGTATTGTTTTTTTGTTGATAAAAAAATAGAAGTTGAATAAAATCCTTTCTCCAAATTCTTTTTGCTGTAATATTTTGTTGCAATAGGAAATTCTGTGATGCAAATAGTTTTGTAATTGTAGGCTCTGCATTAAGGACGGTATTGAATTTTTTTTTTTGATGGTAAAATACCTAAATACAACATTTTGTTTAATTACTATTTGCTTTAGGAGGCTGAAATAAAAATACAGCCTGCAAAACATTTTAGTTAAATAAATTGCCACAGTTATGAAGCTATTGATTTTGGCTGAGTGATAATGTAATAGTAAAACCTTATTTTCTGTTCATATTGTGCTTGTGCTATTGTTTTGCTGTCCGGTGTTGACCAGAGGTGGATGGGTTCCCCTGTTGAGTCTTGGTTCCTCTCAATGTTTTTCCCGCTGCTTTTAAAGGGTTTTCCTTGCCGCTGTTGCCATTGGCTTGGACCTAGATTTTTCTGTAAAGCTGCTTTGTGACAATGTCTGTTGTAAAAAGCACTGTATAAAGAAACTTTGACTTGACTTGACTTGACTAACCAAGTAGTTCTGTAGTATGTTGTACTAGAAAGAAGGTCTGTAAGGCATTTGGTTTTAAATTTGTAGGTCAAACAGTAAATAAGCTCAACACAAGACTTTCTTAAATTCTTCAGATTGGTGTAGCAATTACTGGCCAGTATTTGATTCTTTTGATTTTACAATTTGACTGTAAAGAAACCATTGAAATTTATTGTCAATACAATATAAATTAAAATTTAACACTTATTTTTTGCATGCTGTAGTTAGTTCCAATAATAGGGTAGTTTTTACTGCATTTGATCTTATAAATTTGGGCCATGCAATAAAGAAGCTATTGAATTTTTTTCATTAAAAGTTTGTTATTATAATATATAATTTAACATGAGACTTTACTCAAATTTTACTTGCTGTTGTAAATTAATAACAGTTAGTAATAACTATAAGCTCTGTAATCTATTTGATTTCATAATTATAGGTCCAACAGTAAAGAAGGCATTGATTATCGTGTGTAAGAATTTATTTGAAATTCAACAGATGTTTATTCAAATTCTACATGTTAAGGTAAGCTGCATTACTATGGCAGTCTTTAATGCACTTGAATTTAAAATGTTAGGGCATACAGTAAAAAAAACTTTGTTTAACACATTCATTAAAAACAAACCTTTGAGTTTATTCAAATTTGGCTTGCTGTACTTTCAACAATTGTTGCAATAATAAGGCACCCTTTAAGGCACTTGATTTTACAGTTCTGGACCCTACGGTAAAGAAGCTATTGAGTTTTTGGTGTTTAAAACATTAATTAATATTCAACACAAGGCTATCTTCAAATACTGCTTCTTGTACTAAGTTGCAGTAATAGGACACTCTATAATGCATTTGGCTTTACAATTTTGGCTCCTACAGTAAAGAAGCTATTGAATTATTTGCTAATGCAACACAATACTTAATTTAAATCCTTCTGCTGTAGTAAGTTACAATTACAGGAAGGTCTCAGTTGCTTGGGTTTCAGCTGTTTGGAACAAGATTTGTACATAGGGACACACACTTTGTTGACGGTCCCTTACTTTTTGCGCCTGAAAATCCGCTTAATGCACCATTCAATTTGGGGAAATGTGTTGAATTTCTTACAAAAAGCAATTAAAGTAAAAGGAAATAGTGTAGTCCTGAGCATGTGTTCTGTGGAGAAGGAATGTGTAAGTGGGGAAATCTTGTCGTATCCTCTCTCTTAAGGCTGTTGACATTGCTGTGGGTGCTGGGTTGTATGACATGTTGTAACGGTGCAAAATGGTGTGCAACAGGCTTTGGGGTATTTTTTGTCTCATTTGATGAATGTGTTAGAGGCGGTACCCAATTAGTAGCGACGTGTATATAAACCCCGCCACATTTAAAAAATCAGTGCACACAATGAAGTCCTCCACAAAGGCAGCCGCTGCAGCTCCTCATATTGGCTAAAACAAGAACATATCCTTGTTGTCTTTGGTTCTGGTTTCTAGCGGTTTGTTATTTTCCGTCCAAAGTTGCAGTTTGGTGCAGGTCACAAGAAAACCTTTCCCCTCTACAGCTGAGTTCACAATTACTTAACCAGTATCATTTGTCCCTAATCCTCATTCATCATTTTATCCATATTTGCACAGTATTGTGCGTAGTGGGCTGTTTGCATCATAGCATGTTTGCATCAGACTTTTTTGCAAAATCTGAGAACATACTTGGACATGATTTTATTCTGCTCAGAGGTATAGATTTGCTAATATTCTGTACTACCTGTATTATGTACATTGGAATTGTCTCATGGTTTTCCCATTTATATTTTGTGTAGTTATTTATATTTTCTATTTTATTCTTTTTAGTTTATCTCTTCTGTGTATATTGCTGTCTTGTTGCATGTTCTATAGGTCCAATAACACTAACTTTACCCAAATGAGATGACTCCTCAGAGTAGCTAATTTCCACTAATTAAAAGTAAAACTGGCACCGTTTAACATGGTGAGCAGTAATAATATTGCACACTGCAGCAAATCCTTGTAAACTATAAAACACATGCACAATTAGACTGTCTGAAATTTCCTGAACTCACTCTAGCACAAAACATATCTTTTTTTTTGGCAAAAAAATAGAATGAAGACAATTAATTAACAATTATTTTTTGAAAAAAAAAATCTAACAAACCTTTACAAAACCACACATCTGAATGTTACAGCAAATCAGGTTAGATTAGAGTTGTAACTAAACTCTGTAGACATTTTTGATTGCTCTGAATCATTGAATCAGCAAGGAATTACAAGTGATGCCATTCTGTAGAAGAGTGTACTTCTTAGGATTTAAGTGAAAACCTTTTGAACAGCTGAATGTGCTACCACCTCATGTTTGACAGCAAATCAGGCTGAAAACAATATACAAGACTTGTTCTGGAGTGCAATTTAGAGCTAATGATGTTGATCAGGTGGGTTAATCAAGTTCGGTTGTGGAGATCTGCTGCTCTACAGAGCTTAGTTCAAGCGCTAATCTATCATGACTCATTCTTTTTAACAAAGTCTTCAGTAGCACCTGAATAGTAGAACCATTGTGGAGAATATTGTAGGGCAGAAGATCTCCAAGACTGATGTTGATCTTCTGGTAGTAGCACACATCTCAGCTTATGTTTTCTGAACCTGGTCTAGGATTGACTTCCCACACTTTTGTTCCACACCTTCATTTACCCCTAAGTCTATTTAATAGCAAGTGAACAAACCCTAAATAAAATTGATTTGTGTGCGTGTTACACAATGTGAAAGAGCAAGTGGGGGGGAAAAAAGCATTCTAATACACACTACCAAAAGTACTAAATGTGTTTAGGTTCTTGACACACAATTACAAGTTTCCAATCTTATGACTGATCTTGATCAATTTATTATAGTACATAGTAGATGGGACAATGTTAGAAAAATATCAAATGAACATGTGAAGGCAGCACAAAGCCCAAAACAGGGAAACACAAATGGCAGGTTTGAATACGCTGCATTATGAAAGTATATTTTTTGCCTGTATCTTGAATATGCATAAATTTCACAACCAGGCATTGCACTCATGGTTGCCATATTTCAGATGTGAGTGTCACAGTGCGCTCACTGAAGTAATAATAATATCACTAGCTATCATCAACATAAACACTCCACTGTCCTTGCTTGAACACTGTAGAGATGCCCCCTGTAGTTAAAATACATTAAGAAATAAACTGTCAGTAATTTGGCAGGGGCTGGAATTTGAAAATGCTATGCACCTTTTCACCCGATCTAAGCAAAAGATTTACCTCCAGTTGTCGCAGGGGATTGCATCTG